GGGTCTGAATCAGAACTGGTCGAAAAATTTCCAAAAATTTTTCAGGGGTTGTCTGTTTCGATATGTCGGGCCCCCGTCCCTCACCACCTGGTAGCCCCATTGTGGGCCTGGCCGAACCCATAATTGAGTTTCAAAAAGAGGCCTTCTTAGTGCCCACAGGGCAGAAAGAGTTAAAAAAACCAACGATTATTCATTGTCACATGGTCACAATCCCTATCTGTAACTCTTTGTAAGAATGTTTTCAAGTTTTTTAGCAGTGTCTTGCTTCTGTACATCATAGACTACTATTCCAATTAGTAATAGAATCGTGTCGGTCGTCAATCTAACTCCGTTCAAGGGAAAATGCTAGAATTGAAGTAACATTATTTTCGCTTTAAATCAGACGTTTGTCTCTAGTTAATTTAGGCTTTCTGCTCCCTCGATTTTTATCACTGGGATCGTCATTCATCTGTCTATTCCTTTCTCATGATTAAGGACAGACAAACAGTAACAGTCAGGCGAACGAGTACGAAATTGTCTCAAAAATTAGTCTTTTCTTATTTGTACAAATTACTCTGCTTTATTTGTACCAATGAAACAAATGAATTTTAGAAAGAATAAGCAGGAAACCATATTAAAGAATCATGAGACAAATTTCTTAACTTTTCCGGTATCATTTAAAACTGCGCGCGTGGCGCCATCTGTTATGGTATTCTGTATTACACTCTTTTTATATTTTTAATTATTATAAAATGGCAAAACTTAATTTTGATGGCAGGAATGGGTTTTATTTTTAAAATTTATAAATGCTAATTGCAAATAAAATCCTAAATAAGCCCGGCCCTACTCGTAACGTGACACATCACCTACTTTATCTCTCCATCCCGTCGACCTTTAACCTCAAATATTTAACAGCATCAACCACCCTCACATTTAAACTTTCCTGCAAAATTTCAGAAATTTTCCATAAAAAAACATTCGCGTTATTCAGCTTCAAAGAGGATTAATGAAATTGTGTCATACACGCACACAAACTGTGAAGCCCCAAAAATGAGTTGAAATTAAATATTTAATTATTAGAATTTTATTAAAACGAAACTAGAAGAAAAATTGTCTATTGTTAAAAACCGATCAAAGAACGAATTAGTTATGTTAGTCATATGAAATTGCGACGAGAGAAAGAAAAAAAAACGCTATTGATGTAAACAGAACGTAATAATTTTAAATGATTAATTAATAATTGTAAACAAACGACTTCCAGTAGAGATGGACCTTTGAAAAGTCGCTCATATGCACATAATTATAACATAGAAATTCTGATAAGAACAAAAATTAATGACGAAAAAGGACATCGCGTCGTGTCGTTAAATTTCAGAAACGTCACAGAATGGTGGAAAATATGAGCGCAAGTTTCAAAGTTCCATCAACATTTTGCATCCAGAATAACGGACGGTGTCAAGTAGATTCTTCAAGGCGGATCTTTCTCGTGACTCGAAAAGAAATCGTTTTTCGCTTAGAAACAGACAAGGGAGCCAATCAAAAAACAGGTTAGAGGACGGAGATTGATATAATCCCCGATCTTCGAGGACAGAAGGACTTCTTTCGTAAATTGTGCTACAGAGTACCTGCACTTCAAAACGTCCGAAGCAAAACTCTCTGTGTGTCGACGCCCAGAAGACGAAGATTCTCAACTAGTGTCCATCGGAAGAGCCGTGCCATCTTGGACCCATCTTGGAGTGACGATAGAAAAACATCCTCGACACTCAAAACTTACGAACATTTAATTGATTAAGGAACTTTGGTATAGTGTAAGTCAAATTTTTATGTTTAAAATAAACAGGTTTTTGTGAGATTCTTGTCACCTGTGTCTCCTCCGCCACACCCACACGCGTTCGACCTTAGATCATTCTGACGCGGGATTAACGATTCCCCCTGAAAGTCGGCGAACTTACACAAACGACACAAATAAAGCCAGGAAATTTAAAGCTTATGATTAAAATTAATAAATGAAATGTAATTTATAGAATGTTTTATAAAGAATTTGTTACAATAGTATTGATAACTAATATATTTGCAGAAATGTTTATTTGCAGTTACAATATACAACTGTGTTAATAAAAGTTTAATACAGAGAAAGTGTAAATTAAAATACTAATTATTTTCGCCATATTGAAAAAGAGAGAACACCAGAATAGCATATCCTAGTGTGAATAAAATTGGTGATTTTATGAATAATTAGTATTAATTGTTCTGTAAAAAATATTAAATAAATATTCATTGTTTTTGCACGTGTTAATTTTCGATTATTCTTCTACAGAATAGTTCTACAAATAAGAACAATAAAGCTAGAACAAATCCAAACGAAAGCAATATTATTGGACTAATGATGTCGGCTAATTGTAATACTTGGAAATTCTGAAAACTTCAGTAACTTTGATGTTTCCGAATAATCTTTTTTCTCGATAATTCCAGCTTCAAATAAACGTGTTACACTATAAAAGAAATATATTTTAAATTATTTTGCAATAAAAAACGTCATACAGGTAAACAAAAAGTTGTCTTACGTCTTACTTAATTCTTTCTTAAAGGGAAATCCCTTTCTTACAGCATAAGACTGAACATATGTGATGAAAACATCTTCAGAAATTATATATGCGTGTGGATCTTTCTGTATCAGTTTATTTGTTCGATATACATTCGTTATCAGAGCAAAACGTTCTTTCTTAACTTTTTCGCTTGCAATCGATAAAGACAAGAAATGGTTGTTACGTAGGATGTGATCTTTGAAAATTTTATCTCTTTTCTTGTTGGAACTCTTCAAGTAATATGCAGAGAACAAAATAATTATATATATTACACATACTACAGCAAAACTTGTTATACTAGGTGTCCATAATTCAAGTTTTTTTATTCAGTGTACTCCGTAGCGGTAATCAATAACCGAATTCCCTAATATAAATATTAAGACTATGCACCGAATGAAAACAGTGATTTCAAGAATCTACGAAATTCAAAATTTTCCGGGCACTTTACAGAAAAATATACGGCTCGATATACGGTAAATAACAAACCCCAATGATAACTTACATCTTAATGTTATTTTAGACATTACGATTGAAGTCGCTGAGAATAATGACATTTACGGCATTGCAAACCACATTTTATACGTGAAGGCACACCCTGAGCAACATTCATTACAACAAAAAACATACTATGCAGAAGGCATGTTTCTTGCTGAACAAATAACTAGTGTTTGTTGAGTTATTGCTATTCTGTCTCCTGTTGGACCCTATAAAGCACATCCTATCAAACTAAATTTTTGTTGCGAAATTCACTCTTGCACTTTTTTACATAGTTCGTATACTAATTTTAGGGCCAGTAATTTATTATTTACAGGTACAGATACCTCTGAATACAAAAACTTTCAAATATGGCTACCCTGTTCTTACCATAATGTAACTCCATATAGCTGATTTTTCTGTAACACCACAAGAATATTCACCATTTTTGACAGCAATGGCTAGTTCGTCAAAAGTTTTTGGAACAGACTCGGTTATAGGACACGACATGAAAGACATTAAAGTTCCACTGTAACTACTTATCAACACTACAACTGATAGCCACCATATTGACACCAGCAGCCTGGATTTGAATCTTTTCACGTTATCCAGTTTAATTCCTAAGTATAAATATTAATTATTAATATTTTTTCTGTTATTAAAAGCAAAAAACGGTTTACCTTGGTAAACAAGCGTGCAAAATAAATTCCAGAACACACGGCTTCGTGGCCAAAATATTTTCACTTCGTCAGGCAGGAAATCTCTTTCGATCACTTTATGCAATACTAATCCAAATATTAATGTGGTTGAGAGAATCGCGATCCACATCTACAAAGAAAATATTTTTTAAAAAATTAATAAATATGAATATTTACTTTAAACAAAGGGTTGCCAACTTTTAAAGCTACAAATTCCGAACAAATATATTTAACGATTTTTATCTTGTGTACAGTAAAAAGGCTTTTATTAGGCTTATCGTGGGTTTTGCGAAGTCCACAACGAAGACGCCATCTTGCAGGACATACCTGAAGTATCGTTTTGGAGTACCCTCAAAATTTCTTGGAATTTTTCGAATTTTTTGCATTTTGACTTTTCAGAGCCGTAATATTAAGATAGTATCACATTTGGTCGACCGGAGTGCGTGTTGGCAACCCTATGTAAATCTTAAATACGTACATGCAAACCGAAGGGTTTTATTATGGAAATCCAATTTGGAATTTTTTCTGGAGCTTTGATGGCAAACGTAACCGGATGAAACGCTAATGGAGAAGTAAATTCCACTGCTGCAAAACGGGTAGGGTTTAGGAGTAAACCAATGAAGGCCTTATCGGCGTCCTAAATTTAAAAAGAAAAAAAATAATTGTATTGTATTGAAGGAATAAGGCACGCAACAGGTATAAAAATATAACCTATTACGAAATTAAACATATGCTTCAACAAAATTAATTGAACAATAACTATTCAAATGTATTATTTACAAGAATTAATGCGTATATGATCAACAGTTCATAAGTGGATAAATTCACTGAGCACTGACTTCTTAATTTCGATTCCTGCCTCACCAACAGAATGCACACGAAAAGTTTTTCAGATTTTTTACGCTTGTCTGAAACAGTGGCGTAGCTAGAAATATCGGGCCCTTCGGCAAGCATGGTCGAAGCGCCCCTCTCTTGTTATTAATTATATTAAAAAAAGCACATGAACTTTTAATTTTGCAAAATACATTTAATAAGAGAAAACATGAAATAATCATTAAAAGAAATGAACAGTTTAAAAAAACTCCGAAATACCTGCAGCATGGAACGAGAATTTTGTTCGTTTTATTTATAATCTGATATACTGTATAGAGATCAGTTATATGAATTAAGAACCATTTAAAACTGATAATTCTTTCTCCTGGCNAGTTCTACAAATAAGAACAATAAAGCTAGAACAAATCCAAACGAAAGCAATATTATTGGACTAATGATGTCGGCTAATTGTAATACTTGGAAATTCTGAAAACTTCAGTAACTTTGATGTTTCCGAATAATCTTTTTTCTCGATAATTCCAGCTTCAAATAAACGTGTTACACTATAAAAGAAATATATTTTTAATTATTTTGCAATAAAAAACGTCATACAGGTAAACAAAAAGTTGTCTTACGTCTTACTTAATTCTTTCTTAAAGGGAAATCCCTTTCTTACAGCATAAGACTGAACATATGTGATGAAAACATCTTCAGAAATTATATATGCGTGTGGATCTTTCTGTATCAGTTTATTTGTTCGATATACATTCGTTATCAGAGCAAAACGTTCTTTCTTAACTTTTTCGCTTGCAATCGATAAAGACAAGAAATGGTTGTTACGTAGGATGTGATCTTTGAAAATTTTATCTCTTTTCTTGTTGGAACTCTTCAAGTAATATGCAGAGAACAAAATAATTATATATATTACACATACTACAGCAAAACTTGTTATACTAGGTGTCCATAATTCAAGTTTTTTTATTCAGTGTACTCCGTAGCGGTAATCAATAACCGAATTCCCTAATATAAATATTAAGACTATGCACCGAATGAAAACAGTGATTTCAAGAATCTACGAAATTCAAAATTTTCCGGGCACTTTACAGAAAAATATACGGCTCGATATACGGTAAATAACAAACCCCAATGATAACTTACATCTTAATGTTATTTTAGACATTACGATTGAAGTCGCTGAGAATAATGACATTTACGGCATTGCAAACCACATTTTATACCTGAAGGCACACCCTGAGCAACATTCATTACAACAAAAAACATACTATGCAGAAGGCATGTTTCTTGCTGAACAAATAACTAGTGTTTGTTGAGTTATTGCTATTCTGTCTCCTGTTGGACCCTATAAAGCACATCCTATCAAACTAAATTTTTGTTGCGAAATTCACTCTTGCACTTTTTTACATAGTTCGTATACTAATTTTAGGGCCAGTAATTTATTATTTACAGGTACAGATACCTCTGAATACAAAAACTTTCAAATATGGCTACCCTGTTCTTACCATAATGTAACTCCATATAGCTGATTTTTCTGTAACACCACAAGAATATTCACCATTTTTGACAGCAATGGCTAGTTCGTCAAAAGTTTTTGGAACAGACTCGGTTATAGGACACGACATGAAAGACATTAAAGTTCCACTGTAACTACTTATCAACACTACAACTGATAGCCACCATATTGACACCAGCAGCCTGGATTTGAATCTTTTCACGTTATCCAGTTTAATTCCTAAGTATAAATATTAATTATTAATATTTTTTCTGTTATTAAAAGCAAAAAACGGTTTACCTTGGTAAACAAGCGTGCAAAATAAATTCCAGAACACACGGCTTCGTGGCCAAAATATTTTCACTTCGTCAGGCAGGAAATCTCTTTCGATCACTTTATGCAATACTAATCCAAATATTAATGTGGTTGAGAGAATCGCGATCCACATCTACAAAGAAAATATTTTTTAAAAAATTAATAAATATGAATATTTACTTTAAACAAAGGGTTGCCAACTTTTAAAGCTACAAATTCCGAACAAATATATTTAACGATTTTTATCTTGTGTACAGTAAAAAGGCTTTTATTAGGCTTATCGTGGGTTTTGCGAAGTCCACAACGAAGACGCCATCTTGCAGGACATACCTGAAGTATCGTTTTGGAGTACCCTCAAAATTTCTTGGAATTTTTCGAATTTTTTGCATTTTGACTTTTCAGAGCCGTAATATTAAGATAGTATCACATTTGGTCGACCGGAGTGCGTGTTGGCAACCCTATGTAAATCTTAAATACGTACATGCAAACCGAAGGGTTTTATTATGGAAATCCAATTTGGAATTTTTTCTGGAGCTTTGATGGCAAACGTAACCGGATGAAACGCTAATGGAGAAGTAAATTCCACTGCTGCAAAACGGGTAGGGTTTAGGAGTAAACCAATGAAGGCCTTATCGGCGTCCTAAATTTAAAAAGAAAAAAAAATAATTGTATTGTATTGAAGGAATAAGGCACGCAACAGGTATAAAAATATAACCTATTACGAAATTAAACATATGCTTCAACAAAATTAATTGAACAATAACTATTCAAAGGTATTATTTACAAGAATTAATGCGTATATGATCAACAGTTCATAAGTGGATAAATTCACTGAGCACTGACTTCTTAATTTCGATTCCTGCCTCACCAACAGAATGCACACGAAAAGTTTTTCAGATTTTTTACGCTTGTCTGAAACAGTGGCGTAGCTAGAAATATCGGGCCCTTCGGCAAGCATGGTCGAAGCGCCCCTCTCTTGTTATTAATTATATTAAAAAAAGCACATGAACTTTTAATTTTGCAAAATACATTTAATAAGAGAAAACATGAAATAATCATTAAAAGAAATGAACAGTTTAAAAAAACTCCGAAATACCTGCAGCATGGAACGAGAATTTTGTTCGTTTTATTTATAATCTGATATACTGTATAGAGATCCGTTATATGAATTAAGAACCATTTAAAACTGATAATTCTTTCTCCTGGCTTTGATATTGGCAACTTGACATATTAATTTTCTTACATACATTTTTGCAACTTCCCTACGCTCAATGGCTTATAAAGCAAGTTCGTGTCAATTACTTTGCCTCACAGTATTTCTTTTATAACCTTTACTTATTTACAATTTGGTATATGACCTTTTGACACTAGCTGTTGTTATCGGCAATACCAGAAACAACATTATTGCAGGGTATACTTCAGAAACTCGCTTTCCGTGCAACCATGCTTTTCTAGAAGTAATTTTAAAAAGTCTTTAATTGACTCTAAAAGTATTATGTCTTGTTTAAATTTAGTAAAAAATTACATGGATCTATAGGACTGCCAACTGGTTTGAAATAATTGCAGCATACTGTTTTGAAAAGCAATTTCACCTTTTTACTATTTGTTTTCTTGCAATTCGAAAATTGCTTTTGGTGCTCAGAAATCAAAATAATTTTTCACTGACGTCATTTCGACAAATGTTTGTGTAACTTGCCGTATAATTATGTCTAGAGTGTAAAAGAACACGATAATTTTAAACTGATGGCAGTAATCACGTGCCAACTCATCAAAATGACCTTTCTCGATTCGAATGCTTTTTGACTCGAACGATCTATTTATTTCCTGTTGTTGAGTAAGTTCGTGAGCTTCCGATTTTTTTTTCATTGTAAGAGTTTCGAAATTTTTAATTGTTTGAAAACTCGTTGCAAATACGTTGCAGCCTCATTAAAATCAGTGAGCATATTTTGGATGCGCACTGATTTTAATGAGGATGCGTATTTAATTTCACATATCACTTCATGCAAAAAATCACAAGTTGAAATTTGTCCATGCTCTTTTTAATTAAATTAATTCTTATTGATTCTTGGTTTTTTTCTATATTGTTAGGTTAAGGTTTATTTCAAACAAAGCTTTCAAAATATATACGCAGTAATTGATCGCAATCAACCAGCCCAAATCTACTCAGGATTTAATTTTTTTAAATTTATCTGTGACTCAAACGTAAAGTTTGATAGAATATCTCACTTCTTCCGCGATATTTCAAAAATTACTTAAAAACTTTCAAAAGTATTGTTAAAAGATGTGTATACGTTTGAAGCAGCACTAATTTTTAAACAAATTTTTGTAGTTGAAGCCCATCAAAATTCACTTCAAAATCGGACACAAGAAGGCTCAACATTAGTCTCCTCCCTTTACGGGAGTAGCAATGTGCCCGCTTATGCTTATTTTCCGAACTTAGTTTTGACACGGTAGAGTGAAAACCGAATATAGAAATCCATCCACTCAGTGACAATGCAAATAATATGATATTCCCACGAGTTAATTACAAATTTCTTTTTGCCAGAATTTTTATGCAATGATATCTATCTAGACTATTTTGTTAATTTTATGCGCTTTTTCTCAGTTTACTTGTCCAAAGCCAGGGTCAACACTCCTGAGCCCTTCCACGTTGCAGACCTTCGCTATTTATGCCACTGGCTCTTACTCTTAAATAGTGGCTAATTTTCATTATAATGGTTTTTCGAAAAGACACATAATTCTGTCTGCTGCATCGCGTAATCTTCTCAATGCAAACAATCTTTCCTGTGTTGTTTGGCCAATACTTGATATTGTTATGAAATATACACACGAACAAGGCTTGGTAAGATCAGTGTGTACCTATAGAATATACGGTGTAAAAGCCAAAATCTAACTTTTATAGTGATGAACCAATCTATTGTAATTTCTATGCTGAATACAGATAAGTTGGTGTTTATAAGCTGCTGAGAGGTTTCTCTAAGAACCGCGATGTGTCCATGTTGTCTGGTGACATTTCTCAGCAAGCTTATATATTAGGGGCCGTTCATGAATTACGTAAGGACAATTTCAATCATTCTAGACCTCCACCCACCCCTGTGTAAGAAACCGTAATATTTTCCTTGATTCCCCCTTCCCTTTCCCTTTCTTACGTAATATTTTGGCATGATTTTATATAAAGATTGTAACCATAAAAAATTTTTTTATGAAATCCTAAAACCTTAGGTCTAAAATATATAATTATTAATTAATTAATAATTATGTACTATTATTTATAAAAGACTTTATGTGAACAAATTTAAAAATATAAAAATTTAATGAATTCGAATGAACAATTTATTTTAGGAACCTTATTTTTTTAATTATTAACAATATTACTATTATTATAAACGTCATAATATTTATTTTTGTATTAATTTTAATTTTCGCAAAAGATGCCAAAACTTTGCCAGATCGACTAGCTAGTGCACGTGTAAACAGAAACGTCATACAAAATAAAACAAGAGAAAATAGAGAGAAACCACATTCCGTTGCCATATTGATTACATCTTGGCTAAGGTCTAGAAAATAAACTATATGCTGCGAAAATGTGCTAGGTGTACCTGGAGACTAAATAATAAAGCTTATAAAACTCTATATAATGGGGCAATACAACAATAGGGTCCTCCGTTAGTCTCTTCCATCCACAGTAGTAGCAAAGTGCTCGTTTATGCTTATTTTTCGAAATTAATTTTGAAACAATAGAATGAAAACAGAATATAGAAATTTTTTAATTTATACATTATATTAATTATAAGCTATATTGTTACGAACTTTTACTTTAATTGATACTCTTCACTAGAGAATAATATCGTATTTTCGTTCGTATAACAACTGGTTATGTATATTGAAAACAATTTGACAGGGATACAAATCATGTGATCTGGTTGGGTACAGAGTGTACATATGCTGGAAATGACGATACAAAGATGTTGTTACTTGTAATTCTTTTTGTTACAGTGCCACGAGTCACTACCATGAAAATATAGTAATCTTAAACCTCAGATCAGTAATAATACATTATAGATCACAGTAATACATAATTGTAATCAGTATATTTGTACATTTATCCATATAAACAGACATTCTCAAATGTACATGTCTATAATTTTAATTTGCCTACCTTATTTACCAGTTTTCCAATAAATCCAGTCCACCAGCCGTTTTCAGTCAGATATCCAAATACTTTAGGTATCGGTTTTACAAGAGAATAACTACGTAAATTAAAGTAATTAGTACTCTGTGTTTATTCATTTAATTAGTACTTCGTAAATATAGTTATATTATTTACCTAAATTTTAATTTTTGTTGAATAGCTTTAAACACGTGAAATTGCATTCCGTCTGTGATTTTTGTTTCATTTTTGTCCACTTTCATGAAATACGATATCTGCAACGTGTAAACCACGTCGTAAAAAACATTAAAATCAGTTTTTTTTGATGATATGAAACCGTGCTTTGCAATTTGTTTATGCTTCTAACACAATAAAGTGTTATAAATTAAGACACTTGGCGGGTTTTCTCATCTATATTTAGTTGATACGTGTGAAAAATTTTACACGTTTCGGGCTTTTAAGCCTCTCTTCAGCCAACTAAAACATTAAAAAAGGATATAACATACATATAAAAAATACACAAGTTTTGTAAAATTCATAAAAATATAAACATACCTATGCATACAAGTTTTTAAAATTACTTTGGACAACAATTATCAAATTGGTATACAATTGATTATGCTTTTTTACTCATAAATCTGTTTTACTAAATCCTTATTTCCTTTGATACGCATTGACAATATAATACGAATTTACATAACTTCTACAATATAAATTTACATATCTGACATTTACTATATTTTTTACAATGTATGATTGTTGATTTATTTAACATTTTAATATTTAATATTATAGATTATTATTTGAACTATTGATATTACAATGTCTTGAAGTTGGTAAACATTATTAACATTTAATGTAGATTTACATATTATTTGACTCCCATTACGACATTACAGTTTTTTGTTATTGTTGATTTATTTAACAGTTCAATAATTATTAATTAGCACATTGATCACAATAATAATAATTTGAATCCAGTGAATACAATCAATATAAAAATTTTAACCAGTTTTCGTTTATAGAGATGCTAGGATTTTTATTTATACTATTTTGATTTTTGATTATTTCTATACTTTCTTTGAATTTTCTTTTATATGTATCTTTTTCTCTGTGTAAAATATCTATATTATTTTTGTCTATATTACAATTATTTAAAAGGCAGTGTTCATGAAAAGCAGAATTTGGTCTACGATATTTCAAATCAGCTATATGTTCTTTCAATCTTACTTTAACTTTACGTTTAGTTTCACCTATATAAAATTTTTTATTTTCGCATGTACACGGAATTTTATAGACTACATTTTTACTTTCTTCTTTCTTTGTTATATTTGTTTTGTTAACTTGTTTTGCATTTAATCTGGAGATTAGCTTATCGTATGTCGGTACTAGTTTTACATTAATTTTTTTGACTTCTTTATTAACTTCTTCGTATAGACCTTTTATATATGGGAAACGAATGTATTTTATTTCGGCTTGTTTAGGATCTATTCTTATTGTTTTATCTGTTTTTTTATCTATTTCTTTTTCCCAAATATTAAGGATTCTGTTTGGGTATCCTGAAAGAATAAATTTTTTCTTTAGTGTATTTAAATGTTCGATTTGTTTAGTATTTATACTAGTTCTATTTTTGATTTTAGTGTATTCCATATTAAATATGTTTTGTTTTATATGAAGTGGTATGTTAGAATTATAGTTAACTGTGGTATTTATTGAGCACTGCTTTTTAAACGGTTCAAATTCGAGATTTGTATTATTTCTTTTAATTGTAATATCTAAATAATTTATGCTGTTGGTAATTTTATCTT